CCCACCAGCAATGTACGAGTGAAACAGTTTCTCTCCATCTTCGCAAGCATTTGATGTTATCACTATTTTTCATTTTAGCTATTCTGATAGGTGTGTAGTGAAATCTCATTGTGGTTTCAATTTGCCTTTCTCTAATGGCTAATGATTTTGAACATCATTTCATGTGTTTATTTGCCATCTGTATATCCTTAATCTGTGCTTGTCTTTTGCCCATCTTCTAATTGGATTTTCTTTTTTTTTTTTTTTTACTGTTTACATCTTTATATAGTCTAGATACATCTGGTTACTGTTTTTAATCAGCTGCTATAGCATTTGAAGAGGACAATGATGTCACGAAGGTCCTCTATCTCATTGAACCATATTAATACTCCTCCCTCTTTAGAAGAACTATCTCTATCAATCCCAATCCAGCTGTCTTTAGAGGGCAGATTCCAACCCTGGGCAAAGTACTTTATTTGACATTACTCTGCTCTGCACTAGTCTTCAAGAATTAGTGCCCACTCTTTGTCCTTCTTTCTCTAGGGTTTTTGTTCTGAGTCACAAAAACAATTGCAATAATGTCGATGTGACAATTTTTGTTTATTGTTGCTTTCCCACTTTCCCTAGATCAGTTTTCTCTGCTCACATGATTTCGCCACTTCCCCACAACTTTAACTTCCCCTGCTGTGGCTGTGGCACTCACCTCTGCATGACCTTGTGGTTCAGTTCCTGAGATTAACTGATTCTGCTTCTGTGTCCAAGTTCCAAATTTCTGGGAGGGAGATGCAGCCTGCCTAATATCAAGGTCAGTTGTGCATTTTTAGTGCTGCCGTGGCCTAGAGTAGTGACGGCCGGTGATATGAGGGCTTCCTTCTGGGGATGTGGCCTGTGCAGGTTCTCTGAGAACAAGATCTCAGCTAGAAATTACCGTCATCTATATTACAAGATCGTAAGAGGGCTTCCTTCTAGGGATGTGGCCTGTGCAGGTTCTCTGAGAACAAGATCTCAGCCAGAAATTGTCACCTATATTACAGGATCATAAGGAATGGGAAGTCAGAGAGGTTAAGTGGTCCCCTAGGACCACATAGCTCCAGTGGTAAGCATATCAGGCTCTAAAGCTTGTACTATATCACTATGCCAATCAGCTGACCAACATGGTTCCAGCTCTCAAAAACCTGAGTCTGTTGGTGAGACACACAAATTCCAACAGAGAAATATACAAAGAGAAAACAGAAGATGGAGATCTGTTTACAGTTAAAGGAACAATAGCATATCCCTTTTTTAACAAATTTTGCAGAAGTTTAAATTTATGCTTATAGTATTATCCTCCTCATAAAAATACCGCAGTGTGTTATGAGTCCTTGGTGACGTGATCCAGTGACATGAAAAGTTAATTCCATAAAGTGACAGGAAAAACATTATAGAACAAACTCCTTTGAACAAAATACATACTTTTATACAAGAATATTTTAATTTTGTTCTTCAGTCACTTGTCCTTTCATCAGTATTAACTGGTTTTCTAATGTTAAACCAACTTTGCATTCTTAGGATTAAGCCAATGGGATGGCTAAATAGCATCTGTTTTATCCATTGTTGGATCTGGCCTACTAAAATTTTTTTTTTTTTTTTTT